TATGCTTCTTCTGCAGTAGAGATTGGTAAAAAACAGATACTTCATATAATATACAATATAATGTACAGACAGGTCTGAAAACTTCACCTAAGATTAATTAGCCAGAATGTTCCAGGAGCAAGAAAGATTAAGTACAAAAGTGGTAAATGATTTTTCCATAAGATACTAAGTAGGAACATTCTTTGTTATAAAAGGCAGTGTCTAATTTGAACTGAACTTTGTATGTATCTTCCCTAATGTGATTTTGTGGCCTTTCTGGTTCCTAAAAGTAGCCAAACCATTTCCAAAGATTTCTGTTAATACTGCTTCACCTCCTGGGCTGCTTACAAACCAGGCAAGCTTTATATAGCTCACGGTGGCATTTCTAAGCATAGAAGATGAACCATGAAATCTTTATATCCAGACTAGAATATGTACAATCAAGATGACCTCATTAAAGCATGTGGGACCAAAAAAAACAAACAAACCAGACTGTAAAAGAAATACACACATTTGCTTCTCTCACTAGTGCTGGCATCACAATGGGTAGTTCTAGCCCTATTCTAGCTTTCCTTAACTACCACCTAATAGTCTCATCATTCTTGATCAATGGCCATGCTCACTAGAGCTCACTTCCAAATAAGAACTCGAGTTTAAGAAAATACTGTTATGTTCCACTTTCTTTACTTCATCACTTAAATAGGAAACTCCATCAAATATTGTAGCAGTGATCTGTTTATAGAAATAAGGGAGAAAACAGTCTGAAAAACAATTTATTATATTCAGTAAGGAATGGGAACTATGAAGAAAACTGGTACTGTAGTAAATATAGTAAATGCAGATATAGAAGAGACCAGTGAGGTATACCCTAACTCTCTCTGCTACTCCATTATGCATCTGATTTAAAAACCCTTAAAAAAGCATCTACCTAAAGCTGCAAAGTTCTGACACATTCTACTGACACTAAAACAAAGCTCTGGATATGGATAGAGGATTTTCTCTAAAAATCCTACTGAATTCCTTATCTGGCAGGGGTGTTATTGAGCTGGTTTAGCCTGATTCTTGTGAACCAGTTGGAGGGCATTTGGAGGGTAGCAATTCTATTACTTGAAAAGTAGCAATCTGGCATCCAAGGGAATGGCACGCAAGGAGAAACTAGCTGCATCCAAACAAGAGTGCAGAAGATGATGTACCTATGTGGTACATGCTTAGAAGGGTGAAGGGACAGCAAGACAACCCTGCCAATGTCACCTGGCAAGACCAGCCCTAAAGTGCAGAGTCCAGCCCAGAGCGTCCTGCTACTAGAAGCCATCGCTGAGCATGTTGGTCACACTGGCCCAGCCTCTTGCTGCTTGGTTTGGCCCACTCCATTCCTGTTCAGGAACTGCTTGTTGACTAATTTAGACCGTATCTCCATTCTATGGGATACACTAAAATAAAAAACAGGTTTATTCCTCATTCTGCCAATGTCCGTGAGCATACTCTTTTACCATTAAAGAGATAGGAAAATATAATCATTTTTGTGATTTTCTATCACTATAGCATTTTGGATGAGAATAATACAATATACAGTCCCTGGCTGCCTATGCACATGAACACAGACCTACTTTTAATTACAAGATAATTTCTATCACTCATAATTCACAAGGAAAAAAAGATTGTTTGAAACAGGAGCTTTGCCATTTAAAACCCATTTTTTATACCCTATAGTATTTAAAAGAAACTGAGAACTGAACACTGTGTTAGAAACTCTATACCAGAGATAAAGTTAGAATCCAAAAATGATATATAAGTAACTTGAGAACTGTGCAAGCTGCCCAGATGGGACAGCTATGATTATAGAAATAATATGGCATTATTGGGTGAATACAGTGAATCACCCTGTGTGAAGAACAGAACAATAAAAAAGTTGTTGTAAGAAGAGCAAGAATTTTAATTTTTATATGTACTGGATTATACTTTATTCTTGTCTTGCATATAAACACAGGACTGTTGGAAAATGTAATTTTAATATTAAGCACAATGATTAGTAAAGACTCCATTTGATTTCAGATGTATATTTTTGACACAATGAAAAAGGCATAAATTAATCCATTATTTTCATGTGGCAAGAATTTCTTCTGAATATAACCTCATGTGGTAAAGTCTGAGATTTATCACATTTAGAGACCCTGGAAAAGCTCACAGTGCAGCAGGATATACTAACATTCTACTGCACTGAAAGAACATTCAGAAGGAATACTGTACATGAAAATGATAGGCAAATCTCATTAAATATTACTTATTTATAATCCAAATTCTCTCTTCTCTGTACGAATAATTATATTCAATCAATCCATGTAAGACCCCCTCCTCCTGTTTCTAAAACTGACGTAAAAGTTTTGCTGCAAGAGTAGATTTTTGCATTCGTAGGCATCTGTTTGGCTTTTCAAATACATTTGTGGCTTCAGCTCACTGAAACACATCAATCTACTTCAGTATTCCATTAGACTAACACATCATGAAAAAGCATAACCATTGTTATTTTAAAAAGACACTTTAGAAAGCAGTGCTTTAAAACATTCAAGTTTTCACAACAAAATTTATTAGAAGAATAGTGGTTCTGAAAAGTCTAGCATCCAGTGAAAACTACCATACATATTACAGCTGGGAATGTGTTTCCAAAATGACATGGCCAAATACAAGAGGGTTGTTTAACCCTTATACATGCACAATAGAATCAGCATTTTTGACATACAATGAAAAGAGAGAGAGAGAGAAAGAGAAAGAGAGAGAACCACATGAATTAAAATTTTATAAGTACTTATCACATACATTAAGACACAGCTTATTAAGTCCAGTCAAAAAATCAGAACTGCATTAAAAATTAAATGTAGTGCAATCAAACCAAAAACCTTAATTTGTGATCATAAGTGCTCTACTACATAAAATGTTGATCATAGCAAGGAACAAAAAAAAGTTCAAATCACACAGTACAAAAAAATCTGTAAATAAATACAAGCTACAGTACAAGAGAAATATTAAATTATACAATTCCGTCAAACTGTAAACAGTATATTGAAATGAGGTCCATAGATTAAAAAGGGGGTTCCTGCTTTATTTTTCCATGACACTTGTACTTTTAGAGGTCTGTAAAAATGCCATTTTTCCATATTTTACATACAGAGAACTTTCTAAAGTGTAAAAGCATCAAATAATAATGCAGAAGCATAGTTAGTGTATAGTTACAGTGAAATTGATGCCAGTACAAGCAGTTCTAATTATATTAATATGTTACTCACACAGTGAAACACCTGAAAAGGGCTACAATTTGGAAGTGGTTATATGTTTCCACAATATATGTGCTCCTGCTGATTATTTGAAAAGCTTACACTCTTGCCATATCACACCAACTTTGGCAGAAGGGTTACTAATAAACTCAAGCCAATCTGACCCATTGGTTTCCATCACAGTGGCCAGTGCACAGAATTCCTAGAGACATTGCATAACTAGAATGTAGAGGTCAGACATCCAAGGGCCAGTGCTCAAGTTTATAAGTACCTAGGATGAAGGAGAAACCACAGCTAGACTGAGAAGCTACCTCTGCTCTATTTACAGAGGCAAGTAGGAATGTATTTGACATTAGCTGTGCTGGCTTGGTAGTGGCATTTTTAAATATTTAAGATTACATATATAATATATATGTATATAACATAATACACATACTATATATAGAAATTTCTTACAATACATAATTATCAGGAACCCCCCTGCGATCTTGCTCAGTAGTAATAACTGAATATACAGAATGCCACTACGTGTCTGAGGCACTGCGTGCTGGAGAGTAATATGCAGCTTTAAAATCTGTTTGGCTGAGTTATACCTGGATACCTGAACTGAGTTTAAATTGACATTCATCAAGGATGTGCTATTAGCACATTAAAAAAAAAAAAAAAGCAAAACAAAACACGAGTCACTGCTAGGTTTAAGAATAGTGTACAAGTACCTGAATTGAGTGAGGGTAGTGTGTAAACTGTCCCTGAGGGTTTTCAAACAGTGTGTGTACAAGCTGGAATCCTAAGCACATTAGTTTAAAACTTACACTGTGGACTGATAAAATACCAACATCTGACGACTGAACGAGTGGAGGTTAGAAAGAGTTATGAGCAAACACTCAAAACATATTTATACATGTTTAAGCAGCAATTAGCTGCTGTAAGCAAAAATCCCACGGATATAAACACCAAATGGGACTCAAGAGAAGTTGCAGTCTGTTGGGTTGTTTCTTTGATGCTAGGGCACACGACAGCCGCCACTGACCCTCTTTCCAACAATTAAAGCAGTTTCACCTGCTAATGTAGGATGCACCTAATTACAGACTAGCAATTCAAGGTTAGATTTTTAATGAAATACTTTTTCTATAACATACTAAAATCCCTTAAGATCACTAATGCTGGTATGCTACTCTAGGTTTGTTTGTTTAATTCCCCCTTCATTTAAGAAGTATACCATTCAACAACTTAATGGTATACCAATATACCATTCAATAACTTAAACATTAAGATCCATTTTCAGTCCTCTGATGTAAAAGCATGTCAGTAAATTTACATTAAAATTTACATGGTAAAAAGGGTTGAATTTCAGCCAAAGATTCTAAATACTGCTCATTCCCTGAAGATAAAAAGGAGAGAGAATCCCTACCCATTTCCCTAGTGATATACTTTCAAACCGAGTTCCACACAATGTTCTACAACTATTCTTCATTTAGGAAACTTCACTTAGCCTCCCATATTTAGATCCCAAATCTTAAAGCCCTAAATGGTCTTTAAAATAGTCTACTGAAATGTAAAATATCAGGTAAATATGCCCACAAGTTTCCTGAACATTATATAACTGAGCTATTTATTATCAACTGAAATCATCTGACCTAAATGCAATAAATCTTTTGTGGACTGAAACTTTAACAGTACCTTGGACTTGAAGACCAGATAAATTAAGACTAAAGTTGTAATAGTAAAAGTGCTGAAAGGTCCTTTTTCTGCTTTTATTTATTTTTTTTTTTTCAAATCTGATCAGAAGATTAATAGTGGACATTAATCTTCTGTAAAGATTAATAGATATTTTTATAAAACCTATTAAGTTCTGTTAAATGTAGCACCAAATGTGAGGTACATTAGAGACTGAGGTGGCACGCCCATAACTACAGAGAGGGGGAAGAAATATTTCTATCAGATTTTTATAAACTTGTGATCCTCAGATAATTCTTTCTTACCAAAGATTTTTAATATATGTTGTACTAACATGAGAGAAAGATCTTAGAATTTTGGTAACATAATCAATGGGAGTGTTATGAGCAAGCTGATACTTTCTTGAAAAAATTATAATGAATGTCTTCAGGACATAATCCAATTAGGATACCTTTGCACTATCAAGAATGCTACTGATATCCAGTTATCTGTCAGAGAAAGCATGCAATGGCTAATAGCTTTTCTTACTATAGTATCTCGAGTATGGATCTTTCTTCTGTCTACATAATATCATCTGCAAATGAAAGGAAGTAAAAGTATGCCTGTTATTTCCATTTAAATTATAATTGCATAATTTTATATTTAGCAGAAAACCTATTCACTGACTATATTTCAACTCATGACTAGATATTCTGTGATACATTACCTAGAAAATAACTAAAAGTTCTACATTCCAGAGCTGTGTAATCAACTCTTTTAATTCCATTTCTTTTAGTTCCAAAGATCACTTTTGATTTAGTCACAATTCCTGATCACCCGTTCCACCTTCTTTTCTATGTGCTCAATTATCAGGTAGTCAAATATAAGGTATAATAATAACCGCTACTGCATTGTCCTCTTTTTGGGTAGAAAGAAGCTAAAAGTTGTTGATAGGGTGAATGATGGAAAATAATTATCATGTCTCAAGTATACCAGAATCTCTATTACTGAATACATTTCTTTTCACATTCTTAAACTGCTTAGGAACTATCTGTGTTTCACAAGTCAGTTTGGGAAACCAATGATAAAATCATTTACCAATTATTCATCTATCATATTACTCAGCAATGTTGTCCCATTAAACAAGTACCTCTATGAAGAGACCCTCTACAGTTAAAAGACATGTAAATTACTAACCTGTTGTTTATTTATTGTGACTGAAACAATAAGTGTGGACCAAAAAATATATGTCTTTCTACCAAATATAAAATATGAAGAAGCCTGCTAGAGTTTCTAAACAAAATCTGACAATGGACAACCAAATGATAAAAAACACCAAATGCAAGTAGCATAATATGCAGTCAGCAAATTCAAGTTATCAAAAGGAGTGAGTGAGTGTGAGAGTTAAAGAGAAATCTTTTGAAACTACAAGGAAGAAAGCAAAAGAGGTCTTATCTCAGTTGTTTTTATTACAAACTGTTCTTTTGAAGGCTGCCTAAATCTTTCAGGCAACCTTGTCTACAACATTAATCTTTCCACCTTTGGACTGAAGGAGGTGACTTAAATTTCTAGAGTTCTAGCAAAGTGCTTCTAAATAGGAGAAGAGAATGATAAGTGTGCTTCCCCATCTGCCTATGTGCCATGTCTCTTTTCACCTCTAAAAAACTCACAATATTTATGAACATTTAATCCAAAATGTATCATACACTGAAGTTGGGACTAAACATTGTATCTACTTAAAATCAAGTTCCCTCAACTGCCTCATACTTGCCAATATTCAAGATAAACCATTATGGAGAAAACAGTCCCATACTGCTCTCTTCTTTAAAAGACACATCACATTCTTAAAGTAATGTAAGAAGTTATCCAGATTTGTTTCAAAACATATTTAAGAACATATACAATCTAGGCTTTTCTTTAGGCAGTTTGGAGCAGCCTTGGAACCAGCAAGAAGTATGGATATATTCTTGGTGCATTTGGAGGGATAGGATCTTAAAATGCTCCTATTTAATCAATTTGGGGTTTATTTAACTTGGATAATTAAAAGTAAGGCCATAGCCCAAACCCTATAACTTGAATTGTTGATAGCTATGGTGAAGAGGCCTGGGGCATTGGAAATGAGGTTCTAAAATGGCTGATAGAGAGGTAATCGTTCATCAGATCTCCAGATTTTTCAGGAAATAACTTTTATATTTTACAGGTCCAAGTAAAAAACTGGCACATTTTCTACACACCGGGCTTGTTCCACAGAACTGTACAATAATTAACTCCACACTTGTACCCCTACAACACTACGCCTTATTCATCTGTATAACCTGCTGCAGCAAAAGGTCACCAACCAACATCTAAATTCCAGTACAATAGAGAACTTGATTTTAAACATTTTTTACACACACACACACTCACATTCTCACACACACACACACACACACACTATCATTAGTCTTCTGGACTGGGAGTAAAGGGAGAACCCACCCTTCATACACTGTCTATAAAAGCAGAGGCTGCCATAAATGATGTTCACAGTTTCTTTCTTTCTGCCATGCAGGTGCAAATAACACCATCAACAGATATGCCATATTTCTACCAAATTCTGGTTCTAGGTTTGGACATACATGATCAAAATGTCCCGATTTTCCTCCTACAGACTTCCCAACTTCTGAAGCATTGCACTTGGCTATTCCTTAACCTGCCATGAAAATCAGCAAGGAAAACAAGGCCAAAATTTCTTGTACAAGTTTACAAGAGCGTCGTTATTGGAAACAGGAGGAAACAAAGATTTTCTTACAAAGACAGTAGCAAACTACATTTTCCCACATCAAACTATGGTCAGTTGGGATTTTGGCCATGCAAACGTCTGTTCAGCAGAAAATTGAACATGCTAATGGATAAACACTGATTCCATTTTTTTCTACAGGCAAAATGCTCCCAAATACTACTCAAAGCTACACCAAAGGCGCCTATTAGAGCAGTCTGACTTTAATGGATCACTTAGGGATCTAAAGCAAGATACAGCCACAGGATGAACCACCTTGAAAAAAACAATTGGGATGAAATCTTATAACAAAAGTTTAACATTAAAAAGGTGCACCTGAATATTACGACTAAGTTTACAAAACCTACAATAAGATAAAATATAGATATATTTATATCTTTTGAATATTCAGCAGCGTTTTGTTTATTTTTGAGAGGCTTCTGAAATTTTAAAAAGGGACAACTAATTTTAAACATGCTTCACAAAACAATAATGGCTATTTTATATTGCAATTACCAAAGTAATGCAATTAGTGCTTTAAAAATAACCTACTTTTTCTTTTCTTTTTCTTTTCTTTTTAAAAACAGAGACCTTTTGAGGAAATATGGTTGTTCCAAAGCTTCTGGGATTTTTTTTTTTACCTGAATAGGAAGTGATCACAGATAATAAGTGTTACATTTCAAAGCTTTGTAGATAAGAATCTTACAATCTTCAGGTCCCAGGACTTAAATCTGAGAAAATTAAGTGTTTGGTTGTTTAATTCATTTTCTAACCAAAGCAATAAGAATACACAACTATCACTAGCTATTTACAGTTCTCAACCTATGGTTTGAAATGACATACAATTAGTTCTCTTCTAAACTGCAGCATTAAAGGGTAGGCACACCATTTTTCTGCTGCACGATTGTCATCCACTTAATGATACAAATTGAAAATATTAAGTAAGTAAAATGAGCACACCAAATACAATGACAGGTTTTACGGAACTCAATTCATACATCACTTAAATAAAAACAGCCACAAAAGGTTAAACCTCAGACAGCTAAACTCTATGCAAGTGTTACACTTCTAGCTTGCAGCAAACCCTCTCCCACACTTTCAATAGCAGATGAAACCACAAATTTAAAACAGTGCATTTTTATTGCAATTTCCAGTGAAACTGGATTATATTGCAGAGTTTCTATATTACTACAGGGCTTCAAACAGATGTCTGTACTGAGATGGCATCTAGGACAGCTAAGGAACTCTGCTTTTTGAGTATGGAAATACATTAAGCAATTAAAAAAAATACATTAACAGTAGTACAAAGCATATATGGGCTAGAAGCCCAATCTCTCTCAAGAATGAGAAGTGCATATTTAACATGACAGCAATGGTGTGCCTAACCTCTGCTTCCCAGCAATCCACTGTATTCAATCAACAAATCAAGAAGGCCAACAATTAATTGCCCCATATTCAAGCAGCAGTCCTGGGGTTATTTAGGCCTTCTTCCTATGAATCATAGCATCCACTTTCAGTCATCAGGACAAAAACTAACCATGAACAGTGCTTAATGTCATCTTACATACAAATCCCATTGCCTCTTTTGGTTGTGCAAAGCAGAATGGAGTCCTATCAATCTTTTGCACAGCTATGATCAAATTCTCTCTCTACCCGAAGAACCATTAAGTCTAATTCAGTGAAGCTGCAGATCCAGAAAGCTTTACTTAAAGCTTAAAATATAAGAATGAACAGATGCTTCTGTAACTAAAACGGCTGAACTGTTGATTAGGAGTGCTTCTGATGATCCACCTATGTGTGTGCTACTCCACTATTAAATCAATAGTGGATAAAACAAAAACAAAATGTCAGGAGATGCAAGAACATTTCCTGTTACTGGCAACTTTAGTATTTAAAAAGGAAACACCCATTGGGTGTTCAACCCTGACAGCGTTATAGCTAGATAAGATGCTCAGCCTAAGCCAGACCAGAATTATCTGATCATGGGTTTTATTAAAATTTGTAAAAATTTCTTCCCTGAACATTATAACATAGATCCTTCATTTACACAACTATTTAGTCAGACTACTGAGGTTGTAATATTTAGAGATTAGTGAATTTATGAGGGTTTTTGTTTGTTTGCCCAAGAATACAGTAAACTGTTATATGTATTTCTGACCCCCAGAAAGGTATGTTTTAACTAGTTGTTGGAAACACACAGTTTAGCGAACTCAGGATCAAATCTGTGAAAAGCATACTGGTCACAAAAAGCCATATTCTGTTAAAATGAGGAATACCCTAGTGTATCATTCAGTGTACCCTGATTCTCCTGAATACAAGGAGTTTGTTGAGATAAGGCTACATCCTCAAGCAGGCAAGTCCAACTCTCATCTTTATAAAAGAATTAACAAAATTACAATGAAGATAGTGTTCCAAAGAAATTAATCAAAGCATTTTGAAGGTAGTGTACGTATGTAAAGATCCCGTCCCATTCCCACCCACCTCACCAGGTGAGCACTAAGCAGATTGCAAACAGTAAAAACAAAAAATAAAAACCTCCTGAATTTAAAACAAAATGGCTCCAATTAGACCCAACTAACAAACCAACCCCAAATCTCTGAATTCAAAAACACCAATTATTATTTTAAAAAATTATTTCCAACCAACTGGATCCAAGGGAACAAAAAGAGAAAATCTAAGTATAATCCAATAATCCAGTTTTGTTTTCAAAGTCTGGTATTAAGAGTTCAAGAAAGGGATTATTATTATTATTATTATTTAAAAGGCCATATGAAAAAAGCAAACCCGATAAAATAACTGAAAGTCCATGCAGGCTCAAGAGGCAAGCAGTCCACTTCCATGTCTGCATTTTTTGTGAGGTAACTCAATTCTCTATAAAATATTAGAGAAACATGCAAAAGGCCAAAAAACAAAACAAAACAAAACACAAAAGGCTCTAAGCCATACTGAGCCAGAAAATTTACAAATATGCAACATTCAGAGCACCCTTTTCCCCTGTGCCCTCACAAGTCTCTGCTGAATTGCAAAGGAACATGTTCTGTACCCAGTGACTGAAGAGGAGTTAGGTACACACAGCAGGAGTTGAACAATGCCATAGTGCTCACCCAGTTTATTATGTAATTGGCACTCTACAACATCCCTAATCATCCTTTGACTCATTTGCACTGTGTGCTGCCTCTCCCTGGGGATCTATCTCAAGCTTTACAGAGACATCCTGTCCCTCCGAACGCATTAATTTCATTTTTTTCTTTGGAGGGTTTTTCAAAGTGCCCAGCCTCTCTTTCACTTTATACTCCAGGGTGCTATGGGGAATCCCATAAATACTCTGAGCTTTGGAAACGCTCATTTTCCCATTCATCACCACAGAAATCGCTTCCTCCAATATCTCACTGTTGTATTGTCTGTATCTGCCTCTTTTCTTCCGAGGTTGCTTAGAGCCAGGATCGCCCTCCTGATCAGAGGTGGAATATGGCTGTCCAGAGGTAGATTGCTCAGCATCTGAGCCCCAGGAATCTGGTCCAGGATCCAGCAAGCTCCTCCTATTTTGTTTCGGAAGGATAGCCCTTAACTTTTTACTAAGCGCGCTCTCCGTTTGTGAACCCATCACCAAAGAGCTATAGCTATACTGGTCACCAGAACGGGATTCCCATGAAAGGTCCATGCCTCGAACTTGTGGTATCTTTAAATCCACAGGAGTTGAATGGCTCATGTCCTTTTTCCCATCCTGTTTAGTTTGAAGTGCCATTTTTTGAAAAGCAGAGTTTTCTGTAAGAAAAGGAAGGTCACTGATGTTGTGGAGTGCACCATTTCCCCTGAATTTCATTCGGGTGAAGTTGAATTCGTAGTGTGGTTTTGCCCAAGAAGCCTCCCTGGATAGTATCATGTGCTGTCCATGATTCTGCAGCCCAGATGGCCCATGGCTGGCAGCGGTAGCATGCTGGTTTCTGCTCAGCAGTTCTTCGCTTATCTGCAGTGATCGAGCCAATGGAACTTTGAGAGATGTGGAGTGGCCAGACCCTTCCCTCGTTCCATCCTGCCAGCTTCTTGGGGGCACCCCATCACCACTCCGAAGTCCCTCTGCATGGTGCTGGCTGGGTCTCCCAGGTCGCCTAATTGGATGGAAGGAAACTGATGTGAGCAGGACTGCACAGGTAGGGAGGAATGGGTGAGGGGGCCACTCCTTTATTAGAAGGCCTTGCTTGGGTAACATCACTTTTGTGGTTTTATTATTTTTTTAAAGTCTCAGCAGTCAGTTTTTAAAAACTTGTTCAAAAAACAAAGAGAAGCTTTTTGGGCAAAGAAAAATGAAACCTGTCAGCTGGTCTTTGGTTGGGTTCACAAAATCTTGGAGCAGAAAAGACTTCGCGCAAGTGTCTGAAAATAGCATCTTAATTATAGATTAGAAAGGAATAATCATCAGTCTATTCACGATTGTATTACTAGTGTGACGTTACCACTAAACAAGTACAGTAATAAAAGAGTAAGCCAAGTGACAAATTGCAGCAAATTCAACACACACTCATACACACCAGCCACCTGCACTTTTTATAAAAGGTGAAAGCTCTGGAGGATATGGATTCACACTATACATGCTAGTTGTTGCTCAGCATCAAAGCTGTTCAGCAGAACTCAAATGATTTTCTCTTTCCATTAAACACTAAAACAAAAATAATGAATAGTTCACAAATTAAGAACTAAAGTCCAGACTTCATTTATTTAAAAAATTCAACATCATGAGTTACAAAAACATTAGTCTCATTTTTTCTTTATGCCAAGTCATGAAAAAACAGTTTATTTCATAACTACTTAGCAGTCTATGCATTTCCAACTTTACTGATTCAACAGATTAGGAATTAATCTATTTCAATTTTATCCACAGTTTAATCACACTATTAAAACATGCAAATTAAATTATTTATTCTTATAAATAATCTGCACAAATGTATATAACACATTCTTTTTATTGTGTCCATTAGGACAATCATAATGTATGTAAGTTTTCCCATTTTACAAGTAGGAAGATCTGAGAGCATGGAATGGAAAAAGAAAGAACTTAAAAAAGATTTTAGGGCTTCTAATCATTTAGGAGATCTATTTTCAATATTAGACTCCAAATTTAAAGCTTGATTTGATAACAAATGTTATTCATTGTTTCTGAACAAAACCATCCCAGTGGGTTATATGTCTAATAGATATTTAAATATGTGCTGTATATTTCTACTAGTTTGATAGCAATGAACCACTGTCCATACAAGATTAATTAAGAAGACAAACATTCACTGGCATTAAGCTTAACAGTACAAGCATAAACATAGACAAACAGTACTGTTCAACAACTCTTAATGCCAACTCCTCTACATAAGACACAGCAAAATATGCTGATATTTTGAAGAAGACCTTCAACTATCCATGTTGAATGGAAGGTTTAAAACAAATTACAGAACTTACTAAATTGTTCAGAAAATGAACAGATGTAGTCAGATATTCCTTTATAAAAAACTTTGGAGTTTTAGGAACCTAGAGATCACAGGGTTAAATAAAGAGTCCATGTAATGAACAGTTTAAATACTTCTTTTTGCAAGTCAGTGGCTGCCAACAATGGCTATTTTTAGGTAGACGTCCAACAAATTATAACGACATATTTACATGTCTAACTAAGCCTGAAGAAAATATTTTTATATATTCTATCCTGGCTCTTATATCTATTATAGCCCTTACAATGCCATCCTGTATCTCTTTATTTCTAAATGACTTCTATCAGCACACATAGCTAAGAATTCAGAACTGACAGGACTACACAACCTTTTTCGAGAGAAATATTACCCAGTATAGAAGCAGAATAGTATCATAAGTGCTTTTATTCTGTATTTTATCTTTAAAACATCCCCAATACAAGTAATTACAAATCTGCCTTGACCTAATGAACCATAAGAAACTAGTTTGATGACAGTACTGTGTTGTAATAATAGTTTATTTCTCCTTTTTGCCCAAATTTTGTGCAATTCTTCACCCACTAGTTTGCTTTGGTGCCCTTGTCCAAACACTGTGTTCATTAATATTGAGTATTCCTGTTTGGTTTCTGTTAAAGCATTCAAACTATCAATTATCATGTCATTATACTTAAGAATGAGGCCTGGCTAAGTTATTCAGCCAATCTCATGTAGTCCTTTATAGGAGTCCACAGAGCTTTCAGAAGCCTACTAACCAAAGCTGACAGAGCCATCAACAATATGGTTGTAGACAGCTGCTAAGGAGCCAAGGGCTCAGAAGGTCTATCCTTCACCTCAGACTCATAAGAACTGTAAAGATGGAAGGGACTACAAGGATCATTTCTCTGCAGTGTGCAGGAAAAACAGGAAAACCAATTAAACCTTCTATGAGAAGTGGCTTAACCTCACTGACATGTTTCCTCTCAACAACAGTTTTTCAATGACAGTTAAACCAAGTGTTAAATTCTTCTAAATGTAATTCCTGATCTGTATTGTATTTGGTATTGCATCTGGGATAATGTAATATGATGAATGGTTACTACATTCTGTGTTCAGTCCAGAATATCACTGTTTGCCATATGAGAACTTTGTAGCAGGCATACGAATTGTGAAAAGCAGTATCCACTAGTCCAAAGATGATGGCAGGAAAGCTGTTTGGAGATCCTCTAAAAATTGTAGTAGGCCCTCCAAGCACAGCTCATATGCAGGTATAACAGTAGAAACTAGGATCTCTATAAATGATCTAAATATATATAGGGATGCTGTAATTGCAATTATAATCTTTAGAATTGCTATGATAATATAAATGTATATAGGCTTTAAATGAAATCCTATGTAATTTGTACTGGTTTCAAGTAAAGTGCTGGTTCACGCAACTAGTGTCTCACACAATTCTTGGCAGATTTTAAGCATAATAATGGCCTAAATGCTTTTGCAGTCAATTTTGTGGGTGTTAATCACTGGATATAAATTTAGACTTTAAAAGCTGATAAAACATATGTCTATATTTCCATATATTCAACAGTAAGACTGATTATTTCCCTTGAATTTATAGTTGAAAATTGGAAATAATGTATTTTCTACATTAATTATAATCCAAAAGTTAAAAACTCAACCTATCATAAGCAGTTGACCCCAATTATACCTCCAAGCCATGAGGTGTGAGCAAAAACACTAAGAATTTCTCTTACCCATTCCCAGGAGTAGCAGAGCAGCCAGGTGAATGGCTCAAGGAGGCGTTGCCTGCACAAGGACTTTTCTTAGTGGACAGATCAAGCACTCCGTCTACAACAACATGAGCATAACTTGAGAGTGGGAAAGAACAGGAAAACCAAACACATACATGAAAACTTGTTAAGGTCAGCCTTGGGTTAATCTTGGATCAATTCAATGTGTCTTCCTGAACTTCAGACTACAGGGTCTTAGCAGATCAATAAATATTTTTACTTATATTGTTTATAACATATTTTTAAATTTAGCAAAAATGCCGAAGCAAAGTATTCCAATATTTATGCTAGCAAAGGTGAAGAGCTTTTCAATTAGTATAAATATTTCTAGGCCAAAAATGTTAACCATGCAAGTTCCAGGACAGTAGGCTACATCCTAGAAAGAAGGGGAAAATATTTTGAGATTTTAGCCATGGCTAGACTGGCTAAACATTTCTTCCCCATATAATTTCCAAATGAAATTACATAGAAGCACAGAATCATAGTAAAAAGAACCTTGGAGAACTTCTGGTCCAACCCCTGCCCAAGGCAGGAATCCTTGGACCATCTCAGACAAATGGCTGTCCAACCTTTGTTGAAAAGCACCAGTGATGAAGCACCCATGCTGCTGTTCCACTACTTAATAGCTCTCTTAGTCAGGAAATTTCTCCTTATTTCAAGTTTGGATCTTTCTCTGTAAAGCTTCACTCATTGGTTCCTGTCCTACCCTTGGGCACTATGGAGAATAAATCCATAATTTCTTCCCTGTGACAGCCCTACAAATATTGAATGACTGCTACTATGTCTCCCCTTCATCTTCTCTTCTTCAAGCTAAACATAACTGGTTCTTTTAACCATTCTTATGATTTAGCCTCCAAGCCACTCACCAGCTTGTTGCTCTTTTCTGCACTCTTTCCAGTTTTTCAGCATCCTTTTTGTATTGTGGCAACCAAAACTGGGTACAATATTCCAGAGGTGGTCTGATCAGTGCAGCACAGAGGAGAATGATCACTTCCTGTGATCTTGATATTAAACCTCTGTTGATACCACCCAAGACTGCATTCTCTCTTTTGGCAGCTACAGCACACTGCTGGCTCATGCTTAATCTGTGGTTTACAGAACAATTTGATCCTTCTCACAAGTACAACTGCTGAGTCAGGTACCACCTATCTTGCATCTGTATTATCTGCATTTCCTATCTAAATGCAGAACACTACATTTCTCACAACTGAACTGCATTTTGTTGGTTCAATGTTCAAGTCTATCAAGATCCTTTTGAACCCTGAGCCTGTCTTCTGAGGTGTTGACAGTCCTCCCACAAATTTCAGCTTTGTGCCATCTGCATATTTGCTGAGTGTCATTACTATATCCTCTTCTAAGTCATTATAAATATTTTGAAGAGCACTTGGTCCACAACAGAACCCTGAGGTATTTTATTGCATACCTTTCTCCATGTAGATATGGATCCATTAAGGGCCACACACTGGGTACAGTTGTTCAATCAACTGCAAATCCATTTGGTAGTGGGACTATCCATCCCACTTTGTTTTATTTTATCAAGAAGGTAGTTCTGGTCAACTTTGGTGAATCTCTTACTGAAGTCTAGATACACTATATGTATAGCACTCCCTTGGTCTACTAATTTAGTCACTTTGTCAAAAAAAAAAAGTAGTATGATTTGTCTGATACCACCTATTTTTAATGAAGTGATGGTTATAGTAATCACCTTGTTCCTTTCTAAGTGCTTGCAAACCCACTGCTTGATACTTGTTTCTAGGATTTTCCCAGGTAGTGAAACACTTTTCTCTAAACTAATTCCATGGCCAGTCTCCTAGGAATGCATAAGTTAAGAACAATCATTTTTAGGAAATGCATAACTTTGTAAAAACCCTATTATAAACGACTCTAAAAGAAGCAACCAGAAGGAAATAGTAGTTGTCTGACTAATGAATCTTTATATCCGCTCAAAATGTACACTCCTATTACTGTATTTATAAATGCCCACATCCTAAAATTATGTTTGTAGGTTTTGCTTTGTGAAATAGAGTAAAAATTCAAGCTTTTCTTTTTCTAGCAAATTCAGATCAAAGTTCCTGCTATGCTAAGTGACATCTACACTATATTTAGCACACTAATGAAGAAGCTTATTGCAGCTTTAAATCTTTTAGTTCTTTCATAGCTAAATAATGCTCACAATGTGTTCTGATTTAATAATTATTCAAACAATTGGTAGTTAAAACAAACTCACATCATCTTAGTAATATATATTTTGCTTCTGACATCTGCAAATGGGCAATGCCTTTTAAAGCCCTCATTGTTTGTAGAGGTTCCATTCTAGACTATCCATGGATAACAAAACAATGGATAACGAGACCTTGAAAAACATACTCTGTGCATGCACAAAAGCCCATCCTTACATGTACACGTAAAAAATACACAAAAAATACCCCAAAACAGAACCACATGCCAAACTTGTAGATATATGAAATATTTTCCTGTGAATAATGAAGACTGGTCTGTTTTTAACCTTCATGCATTCACATAACTGCAGGTAATGAAATCATGGATAATGAGGACCACTTGTACAACTGTATTATTTGTTAATATCACCAGACAGCCAATTAAAAGTCTTGAGTTTCTCTACCAAGGAAGAGAAGCAGTGCATAGAATTAACATCTTTCTTATCACCTTTCCTGGATCAGGAGGCTTTACTCAGTCACCCATGTCTTTCTCACCACGCAACTGTATTCTTGTAATGTGCTCTACATTGAGCTATCCTTCAAGACCACCTGGAAGTTTCAGCTATCACAGTATGCAGCAGCCCAGGCAATTTTAGGGAGCATTGAACTTTGCCTGAGGAACACCGCTAAAACAGGAGCTACGAAGGCTGACAGTTGCTTCCAGGCGCAATTCAAAGTGCTGGCTGTCATTTTTAAGGCCCTGTGTGGCTCAGAGCCTAGATATCTTTGTGACCAGTTTCTTCAAGCTGAATCTGCCTGTCCACTAAGCTATGGGGAGAGTATTTGTGGAAGGTCCCATCACTGCAGGAGGGCCAACTTCAGGGACCCAAGGCTCAAGTCTTCTCAGTGATGGCCCATTTCTTTGGAACAGCATATCACCAGATATACAACCATCCACTCCTTACTACACTTTCAGAAAGCTATAAATACATAGTTCTTCAGGAAGGCATTTGGGGATGAGTATTATCATGCTATCCCCAAATGGTGGTGCATCAAACTGATTAAAAAAATAAATTCATACAATTATAAGTTTACTATATTTCTACTGTAAGCTACTCAGAGTTCCTGAAAATTGGATGGTATATAAATTGTAGAAACAAACAAACTAACAAATAAACCCTGCTTCTCTCTCTCTTTCCTGCTCAGCTTAAACTCAACATGAAAAATAAAGCTTTTTATTATGTTCTCAATAAACCTGCATCTAGCTCTCAAACCTAACCCAATACTCAGGAAATAAAACTTGTCTTGATCTTTATCAGTCTTTACAATATGGGATTACAACTCTTGTTCTTCACTGACTCCTCCCTTTCTGCTTCTGCTTCTCCCTGGGTTTCTACTCAGCTATTTCTGGAATTTTAAAAATAGTATTCTACCAGTAGACTAGAAATAGGAAACCTCTTGCTTATGAAATTTCAAGCAAGACTTCACTTATTCTGGAGCCTCTGAAAGCACATTACTTCAACTACCTTGCACCTTTTGCCCAGAGTAAAATCAGAGGGCACTCAAAGCCAGCTGATTGTGGGCTCTCCCTCTCTTATTAGCACGCATGCTGGCAAGACTATGTCTTGAAGGAAAGACAGGGATCCACCATAGGTAGATGAATAGTATCGGGGGTGAGGTTTCTCCTCCTAAACTCCTGCCCCCAGACATCATTAGTCCAGTGAAGCAGATACAGCTACCCTTTTATTGCAGTATAACAACATTAAAAGCAATACCAGCAGTATTAAATCATAATATAATATTACACTACTATGCTCTTATTAATAAAGTTAACATTGAAATAATCCAACCACAGGGCAAGTAATTAATATGAGGAATTCATACGTTTCTTGCAATCAATACAGGCAAACTATAGGTTAAACAAAAAGCCAAACTCAGTTCCATTAAAATTGATGAGAATTTTGGTGGGAATCCTAGGACGGGCCACTCACTGGGATGACAGAGCCAATGGCTGAGATAGGTCCTACCTTCCAGTACTCAAGTATTCACCCCCAATGCCAGATCACTGGATCCTAGTGGCTTTGGGCCCTGGTCAGTTTGTAACAACACTTCCCTCATCCATGATTTTATCTTGGATAAGGCAGATAGCTTAGTTATTTTTCCACTGTTATCGTGTCCACAGATAGTCACCCAATGGCCCTCTTTAAGGTGGCTTGTTCGTTGCTGCAGAGGGATAAATCACAGGACCATCTATAAGGCTGCTGTGAAGAACACAGGTAGGTCACAATTAGTGTGCGTTCAAATAATGCGATATTCGATTTAGTGTGAATTGTAACTTGATACCAGGTTGCATTTAATGTGATCCAAAATTCAGTGCGAGGTTAGCAAGTGTGCAACTGAGGCTAGTGCATGCAGAGTTGCAGTTGGGGTTTTAGACACTGCTAATCATCCAATGAAATGTTGGAATGCCTGAATCTACTCAGAATTTGTTTATATTTTGCTTTCTAAAGCTATTCTGTGACTTTGTTAACCAGACATTAAATTATATTCTTATCCTTTACTGTAGTATTTCATTAATATACATATAAAAATTTATGTTTACATTTTTTCATTGCCTATTTCCAACAAGCTGGAACCAGTTACCATATTTTCCATACAAATATCACTTTGAATAGTGCAAATCTGAATAATGCAACCATACTGTGGGATTAATTAACCACACTAATCGAGACCTTCCTGTATTCTAGGCATATACTGGATAAAGAATTGCAAATTCACTTGGATTCTGGGCAAGACCTGTTGAGCTAACTGAAACAGTCTTGTGTGGTTAGCTGGGACGAGTTTGAATCTGTAACTCCTGAGGAAGTAGAGAGAGTCCTTGGGACTGCTCACCTGTTTGTTAGATCCATGCCCCTCGACTGGCGAAGGTGGCCTGGGAGGTGGCTGGGTCCATGTGGTAGTGTCAGCTTTGTTGAGGGGAGTGGTTCTGCCTTCCTTGAAGAGGGTAGTATGCCCCTTCATCAAGAAGCTGTTGCTGAACCCAATTTTTATCCAGTCTACAATCTTCCCCTTTTAGGGAAGATTACTGTTGAGAAGATCAAATTGCAGCTTCAGAGGTCTTGGGAAGAAACATATTATTTAAATCCTTTTAGTCAAGTTTCAGACCAGGACATAATATGGAGACAGCAACAGTTGTGTTCATCTATGACCCCTGGCAGAACAGGGACAGGTGATGCAATTGTGGATTGCCTACAGGGATTAGGAGCAGTGGACACAGTGTTCTTTTTCTGTGGTTGGTTCTAGTCAGCTTTGGTGGGGAATTATATTGAGCCAAAGCCTCTGACATGCAGGGTGCCATAGGACTTTGCTGTCTGACCCTCTTTAATATCTACATACCAAGTGATATGGGTATTTGGATCAATGGAATGGGAGACTTTCCATCTTTAGTCCTGAATGGAGATGCATTTACCTAATCAAGCAATTTGAGAGTCTTTCTAGACTCAGAGCTCCTGCTTGAAAAGCAGCTGATAGCTGTGGCCAGAAAAGTGTTTGCAGATTCATCTTGTATATCAATTGCACCTGTTTCTGGACCAAGAGGTACTTGGAACAGTCACTCATGCTTTGATCACCTCACATGTGGACTATTTCAATGCACTCTACAGGGAGCTGCCACTTTAGATCACTCGGAAGCTGCAGCTGGTCCAGAAGTTGGCAGCATGGGGAATTACGGATATGTCACAGTATATCCAGGTAACACCTCTGCTTTTTGAGCTGCGCTGGTTATCAGTAGGCCTCAGGGTACAATTCAAGGTGCTGGTTATTACCTATAAAGCTCTTCAGTGGCATAGGGCCTGACTATCTGGGGAATCATCTGTCCTGTGGTGTCTGCCAGTCCTGTTTGATTTGACAATGTTGGCATGCTTTGGGTTCCCTCAATTAAACAGCGTCATCTGATAGGACCCAGGAAGTGGGCCTTTTTTGTTGCAGTGCCTATCCTTCTGGAACAGCATCTCCCCAGACATCTATGGCCCCTACCTGGCCTTGTTTAATCAGGCCATTAAAACATGGTTGTTCCCCAGGGCTTGGGCTAGGGTAGGTAGCAGGCTCCTCGTGGGAGTGTTCTATGCGAAAGAAGTGTGTTTTGCTCTTCTTGGATGCTTATTACTTTTTTTCTGTTTTGTACTGTTCCAAATTGCTTTTAATAATTTCACAGTGAAGAGGTGTTGTGGATTTGAGCAGCCACACAAATGTGATTAACTGACAGACAGATAGAAAAAAATAAAATTGCTCACCATGTCCAATTTGTCATAAAAAAATGAAGCTTTTCTTTTAAAATAAGGATTACAGACAGGGGTACACACAAATGATGATCAGGGTCAACTACTGCTTAAACACAAACAATAGCTACCACCAACGTGAAATGACAAATATTGGACTGCAGAAGCATCAGGAATGAAGAATTTCATGACTTCTGAAGTCCAGCACATGTTCAGATATTTTGAAATGTGGTTTTCATCTCTGACATTACATAGATCATCAATGCTTCCAATGCTCAGTATGACCACAAGGCAGAAACAGCTTTCACAATACAGCTACCTCACTGACAGATTTGGGACAGAAACCAGAATTTGAGGCCTCGTGTGCAATGGACGTGTCTGCTGGAGCAGAAATTTTCCAAACTTGTCTTACTCACTTCTCATAGTCATAATATATTCTTCTATTCATTTAGTAATTCATGACTAACGTATTATTACTACTTGCAAAACACATTAGACAGAAATGTGGCATGCATACCTTGTTCACTAGGATCCAACTGTGACTTTCTGACAGTGAGGTCCAAGGGTGAGTCCTGGTCAGCCATGAGAAGTTTGCTGAGCACGGGATTCTGAGCTGTTGCACCCGCAGTGGATGAGGCAACCGGAGATGCTTTCAGCAGGCTTTGGTTCTTTGTGCTATTGGGCGAACTGGAGTCCTGAGTAGAGCTAGTTTTTGAGGTATATTCAGCAGCAAATTGCCGGATCATCCGCTGCATGATCTCGCGGGCCACTAAGGGAATGTTGGGGTCAGAGACCCTGGGACTATCTAAAAGGCATAACATTTGAAGTTGTAATACTCCGAAAAAAATGTAAAGCCTGAATTATAAATTAATAACCTAAATATATCCAAATATTTTTAGGTATCATGTTCAATTATTTTAAAATGCAAGCTCAAGACTGAGACATATTTATTTTATTTGTTTATTTGGCTTGGACACTGCCCAACGCCCATTAACTCTGGGCGGCTCACAGAGTAAAAACTAAGAACAATATACAATCCAGAAAGAAACAGCAAACAACATGGCAAATCTGGCCAACAGCAACATACATATACCCTACAAAGGGCTCCAACCATCCTAGCCTAAAGCCTGGGTGAAGAGCCAGATCTTTAAGACCCCCTGGAATGCCAACAGGGTGGGAGCTACCTGGATCTCAGGAGTAATCTCATTCTACAGGGCCAGCACCGCAACAGAGACCCTGCTTCTGGGGTCCCAATAGATGATACCGCTTAATTAAAAGAACCTGGAACTGCACCAACCCTGCTGGATCACACTGGGCAGACTGATACAACAGAAGATAGGCAGTCCTTCAATTAACTTGTCCCTAACCATGTAGGGCTTTATAGGTCTTAACCAGTGCCTTGATTCACACCTGGAAGCTAACCAGCAACCAGTGCAGCTCATGAAGCAGTGGTGTCACATGGGCATACCGAGGCATGACTTTCACTGCCTACACCACTGCATTCTGGACCAGTTGAAGGTTTCTGGTGATCTTCAAGGGCAGCGCCACATAGAACATATTGCAGTAGTCAAGCTGTGAGGTAACTAGGGCATAAGTGACTCTCTAGAGGGCCTCCCAATCTAGGAAAGGGTGCAACTGTTATACCAGATGAAGCTGTGCAAAGGCCTTCCAGGCCACAGTTGCCATCTTTTAAGAAATATAAAACAAGTGGCAATTGAAAAACTTTTCCTCTCCATAGCTTCTTTTCCTAACTTTGGTTTCAGAGAATACTGATGTCATGAATGCATTAGACCAGGGTTTCTCAACCTTGGCAGCTTTCAGATGGGTGGACTCCAACTCCCAGAATTCCCCAACCAGCCTTGCTGGCTAGGGAATTCTGGGAGTTGAAGCCCACTCATCTGAAAGTTGTCAAGGTTGAGAAACCCTATATCAGACCAATATAACACCATCTCATTTCTAATATTGCTAAATTTAAAAGGTATCATACAATCTTACCAAACTAAAATTTCTTCAGAAGTGGGGAAACGAATTAAACCTGGTTTTATTTCTTTGAGGCAGCGGTTTACAAAACAGTATCTACTTTAATAGTATTCAGTCAATGGAAGATCTGTGAGACCTAGAGATTTCCTTCAATGGAATTCTAGGTTTGCAACATTTAAATCACCAAAGAAAACCAAACTGCTATAAGCATGATGTCTAAAAAGCATGATCATACACATTCTTCTTCCCTAACCCATGGCTCAGTCTGTACCATGTGAATAATATTTGCCTACTTAACAGGCTGTCATAAAGATAATTGGCATAATGTATATGCTGTGAACACTTGAAATGTGCTAAATAAAAGCTACTGTTATTAGTAATCCTACAAATTCTCTTTCTTACTAATCCAACATTTGACAGCATCATTCACGAGTACTGCTTCTTGAAAGACAAGTTTAAGGCACAATTCTGCAAATCAATCATTTAACAATCCCATCATTTCAAGTGTTTTATTGTTTACTGTTTTTATTCTATACATTTATGAATTTTGACTCTGTATAACAAAGCTACAGTTAAATAAATGAAAATGAAAATATATACATGATAAAAACACAGCAGCAACACAAGCAGCAAAAGCAGATTTCACTGTATTCTGCTAAAGGCCTGAAAATACTAGTAGAAGTTTATCAGTAAATAAGCAAGGTGGGTTTTAAATATGTGTCTCAATCTCTCCCATTAAAATAAGCAGGACTTAGGACTTCCAGCAAGGACATGGCAAACTAAATGTCCCTGAAGGAGCAGGGATGGTGTTTACGGCAGAAATCGGTGGCTGGATACTAGATCGTGGCCAGTGAAATCTCTCCAGAGAAAGGAGAGATTGTGAGATAGCCCACATGTACTCTGGACAGCTGCTCCTTGTGAGTAGATGGCAGAAACTGAAGTTTTTGCAGTAAGATTATGAGTCAAGTGGCTGGAAGTCAAGGGATTCCATCTAAGCTCACATTTGTAATGTGGCCTACGTAGACATAAAGCTCAACCGAGCCTTATTTCTTAATCACTTTGGAATTACTATTTTATTGCTTTTCAACTATTATGAATCTTTGGAATGACAAGTTTTTATCACATTCACTAGGTGAGGCTCCTTCTCCTTAGTGAAAGATGTTCTGAGTTTAAGGACTTAGAAAAAAAATACTTTTTGTAATAAACAGCAAAAGGGCGTTTAGAGTGTTGATTTTGGAAAGTTAAAAATGTACTAAGGGTCCAGATGGATTTGAAATAAAACTTTGAAATTAAATATAAGAATCCTTCCATTGGGAAACTGGTGTTGTTTGGATTCCTTAGGGGGAAAAAAATGATAGGATGGGACTTTGAAAGTTGGACATTAGAGGGAACTAGAAGAAACTAAAGATTACAATTGAAGAAGAATACTTAAAGCCAACTCATTAATACAGACTGGAGCAAAATACTTTAACATTGGATGTTTTGAAAGATATTTGTGAACAACGGATACAGAAGATAATTTTAAGAATTTCTGTCATTATAGATAGATGGTGTCTAAATGATGTTACAGAAGAGGAACAAGCTCTATCAGTCAAGGCTGAAATTAATCTGAATGTGGATTTAAAAATGATAAGGTACAAGAATTATATTGAAAAAGATGATATACTGAATATACAAATGAAACCAGTTGATGTTTTAATAATTAAAAGGGACATACCAGTAACAAACCAGAAGAGAGATTTGGATAACTCTTCTACACTGGATTTACAGAAAAGACCCGTTAAAGTTTTGAAGGATTTCCTGAGAAGGGGCAAAGAAAAAATGAAAAGAAATGAAGTTCTAGGACATTATTTGAAGGGATTAAAAATCAGTTATCTCTGATAGCCCTTAATGGACTTTTGCTGACCAGGAATGAATGGTGAGGCTTTAAGATTTTGTTTATAGTTAAGAGATGAGATATGGGAAACAGAGAGTATTTGTTGTATTTTAAGAGAAGGTGATAAGTTCTTAAAATTGTTTATACTTGTGACGAAGGGGGAAATTACTTCTTTATATATATTTTTTTCTTTCTTTTCTATTTTTCTTTCTTTTTCTTTTGTGCAATTTCTCTTTTTACTCTTAGTTTTTTTTAGTTTGTACTAGTTTTTATCTTTTCAATTGTAATCTTTAATAAAATTATTATTAAAAAAGAGAAATAAGCAGCACTTGGAAATACAGGGAATCCTCACTTACCAATGGTAATTGGGACCAGGAACTCCATCACTAAGCAACACAGTCATTAGGTTGTGACATCACATGACCACGCCAACTTACAAGGGTAGCTGTGGCAGTCCCAGTCGCTATTCTTAGGCAATCCCACACAGTCACAGTGTCCTTCAGTCACATGATCACCATTTGCAACCTCCTGCCAGCTTCCCTATTGACTTTGTTTGTTGGAAGCCGGCAGTGAAGGTCACAAATGGCAATCACGTGACCGTGGGACGCTGCAATGTTGTATTTATGAGGACCCATTGTAAGTCACAATATTTTACAAGTTTTAATAAAAGGATTACAGATAATCCTCGAGTTATGACAGCAATTGGGACTGGAATTTCCATTGCTAAGTGATGCGGTTACTAAGCATGACCACATTGCTTAGTGATGGCAATTCCTGCAGTCTCAATTGCTGTTGTTAACTGAATCGCAGCGGACTTCCTCACAACTTCCTCCCGGTTTCTCACAACCAAAGTCAGTGGAGAAGCCGGCAGGAAGTCGCAAGTCCCAGGTGGCTCGCAAGCAGGCCAACAGGCAAGTAAGTGGCTGCTGCCAGGTGGGGGAGGGTGTGCAGGAATGCATGGGTGGCTGGAACAGCACGAGCACAGCGAGGCTTGGGTGGCTGCGGCCAAGTGGAGGAAGGTGCGCAAGGGACTATTGCTGCGAGGCTTGGGGAGGGTGTGTGGGTGTGTGAGGGAGGCACAGCTCGGGGTATGCGGAGGGATGGCAAGCTAGGGGAGGGTGCACGAATTGCTGGCATGGTGCAAGTGCAGAGGGGCTGGGCAAGGGTGCACGAGGGGGAAAGACTTACCCCAGTGACTGCAACCTTCCCTGCTGGCTTCCCCACTGGCCTTCTGGGGAAACTGGCAGGGAAGGGTGCAAATGGCGATCATGTGATTGCGGGGCGCTGCAACTGGTCATAAGTGTGAGCCAGTTGCCAAGTGTCCAGATCGTGACCACGGGGGTGCTGGGACGGCCATTAACTCCGAGGACTGGTTATCACCACCATTCATTCAGCACTATTGTAACTTCAAATGGTCACTGAACAAATGGTCATAAGTTGAGGATTACCTATATTGAGGAGCTTTACTTGATAAGATTTTTGACAACCAGCTCAATAAACAATATAAAATGCTAACAGGTAACAAAGAAAAGGCAAAGCTACTGAACTGAACAAGCTTTGTTGTATGCTGCCCAGAGTTGCCTGTGGTGAGATGGGCAGCTATATAAATTGGTTTAATAAAATAAAATAAACTATTTTAGTTCAGTCAAAAAATTATGTGTTCCACTAAGACATCATGAAGGGTGAGTTGAAAGGGCAGGACTGAAGGTTGAGATTAACAAACACAGTCAAGGACTACCAAATTTATTTAGAGGCTAAATCTCCATGACCAAATAATTTTATCCCAAGGAACTGGTGGGATGTGCCATGCTGGGATATCACAGCAGAAGCTGAGAGAAGGGATAGAAGGGATGGCCATGGGAAGATGGAGGACAAAGATATGCCACACTAACACACTGGTGGTGCCAGATGAGAGAGCAAAGGAAAGAGAAGGCACTGGGAAGCTCAGAGGAGTGTGCAGGCTATTGAAATATGCTGCGCTGGGTCACTGGTGGAAGAGGCTGGGGGAAGAAAGTAGAGGAAGGAAAGGAAAGAGACAGGAAAAATTGGAGACTGGCAGGCCATTACGATATGTTGCAGTGGCAGCTGATGAGCAGATGAGAGGAGGGCAATATTTAGCTACCACAAAAGAAATTTAAAAATTAATAAATCTAACTATTACATTAAACATTTTTTTTAACTATTAAGTCTAACCTTTTCGATAAAAAACTTCATGGAGGAATTCTTTTGCTTGCCTCTCAAACCAAATGATCTTTGTTTGCTCTCGTCTAAGCAGAGCGTGGTGCGCAACTTCCAACGCTGGATCATCCAGACTGACTAAATGTTCCTGTGAAACATTTAACAAAAGAGTAAAAACACAAAGACTTCTTGTTGTTAAATTTAATAAAACAACTGTAATACAATTCAAACAGTCAAGCACTTAATATGCTGGTATACAAGCCAGTTTCACTGTTTAGGTTTGCTGAGTTATTACACAAGTTCAATCATCTTAATGGAATTATTTCTAGATTACAGAAGGGGAAAATATATCACGGAAGAAGAAATATAATATCTATATTGCAATCTAATTTAATTTTAGTTTGACCCTGGCCTCATTTAATACTATATAGTGAGACCCCACACATGTTACTTAGTTCTGAGCCTGGTAAAACATAGATTTCCTTCCTAAATTATTAGCGTAATAAAATCAAAGTACTGAATATGAAAAAAAACATCTCCTCTATATTCAACAGGTGTATAACAACACAAGATTTACTATTTTAGGCATTTTCTTCCAAACCGATCAAGAAAACTAATACAATTCCAGTTAAGATATTGTAGAGGAGAGCGGCAGTGTGCCTTACTGAAATTGCAACAGCTTCTCATCATTACAAGGGTCAAAAAAAAAAAAAATCACACAAGGGGAAAAAAAGAGGATGGGAAAAATGCTATTATTACCAACTGCAGCTTCATTGATAAACCTCCACTTATCTAAACTTATAATCTTGCTTCTAGGAAATTATTTCAATTTTTTCCTTCTTCTTCCAGCCATACCCAATTCTCTTCATATTTACTGGGAAGTTTTCTGACAAAACCTTTGGTATCAAGACACAGGCTAAAGTAGGGATGCACAACTTCTGTTGGTTTGAAGGTCTCGCCAGTAAATGTACCCCATGTAAATGACCACACTGCAAAAGTGCACAGAACTATTTTGATTAGCTTTAATTTTATTTTGTAATAATTTGCTGCCATACAAAATTCCAAAAGTAATATATAATTGTATCTTTTTTCTCTGTACAAAAATAGTGGCAGTTTTTTTTTACCTAGGGATGTGAAGATCTTAAAAAGAATATTTGTTTTGATGAAGATTTGATCAAAGCAACCTAATAAAGAAAGGAACCTCCTCCTATTTCTAAGCAGCTGAATCAGAATGTTACTTTGATTGAGGAGTCACTGCCGATGAGGAATGGTGAACTGACGCCCCACGCTCCATGGGAAACATTATGGCCAAAAGGCAACTGAATGCAGGATTCAGACTGCTGATAATTCTCTCTCGATAACAGAGAGCTTGAGATTACCCCCACGCATTCTGGACAGCTGGGTTGTTTTATGAGTTGACAGCAGAAACTGACATTTTTGCTGTTGCTTGCGATCAGCTGGGAGTTGCAGGTTTCATCATGCTCTGAGCCATTAATGTAGCCTTTTCATGGACTCAAAATTCATCCAAACCTCATCTTTTTAATCACCTTGGAGTTTAATTTTTTTCTTACTGATTCTTTAAGATTGAAAAACCTTCGGAACCGCAAGTTGGGCTTTCGCTGGGTGAGTCTCCCTTCAATTCGTTTAAAAAGAAAGCAAACTGTGTTTTCAGCTTTGTAAGATATTTATTTTTTGTAATATGTAACAAAAGGGGAATTATAGTGTTGTTTTTTGGTAAGTTTTTAAATGCTAAGGATTTGGATGAAATTGATTTAAAGAAAGACTTTGAAGTTAATTAAAAAGATCGTCTCGTGTGGGGAAAAAAATCATGTTTATATTTCAACTTGATAACAAAACTTTGAAGGTTAATCACTAGACAGCACCAAAGGACTACTTTAAAGGAAACGTTTTATAAGCTGGCTCAAGAAATGCTTGGACTATTTAACCCTATACTGGAACCAAAACTTGTTATTGAAGAGAAACAGATTCCTTGGAAGATAACTGAAATGGATTTTAAGGTGGTCTTAAAAATTATAACCTATAAGAAAGAGATGGAAATATTGGATTTAAAAATGGAATTGGATGATCATTTAAAAATTTTAAAAAGATATACAAATAAGGTATCAAAAGAGGGATGTGGATTACCTGTTTAAACTGGAATATAAAAAACTTACTGGAGTGGCCATATTGAAATTACATATGGACTCTGATAAAGATGACAAGGATTTCGAGAGAAGAGACAAGGATAGTAGAAGAAAGCAGATGTTAGAACTTTACCTATAGGATTGAAGGATTGATGGGAGGAACAAGAAAAAACTGGTTTATTTCATTATGGTAAAGTAATAGGTTGCTATCTTCGATGATGTTAAATGGTTACTTTGGATAGGGTAGTTTTTTTGTTTTTTGTTTTGGAAGTGTTCCATTGAGTGTAATGGATTAATTTGTAATATCTATATTGCTATTTTTGGTGTATAAATAAGGGATTATTATTTCTGGTCGTGTTTTTGTTTGTTTTTGTTTTTCTGTAATGTTTAATTGTTAATTGGGATTAATAATGTGTTGCTATCTCTGGTGATGATTAATTGTTATTTTTTATCTTTT